AAACAAATATATGGTAACTGTAACTTGCAGTTTCACAAAGTGGGTTGAGTGCCTTCCAGCGCCAAACGATACAGCCGTCACAACCGCTGTACTGCTGATTAACCACGTTTTCAGTCGATGGGGACTTCCACTCTGCATTGACTCTGACCGAGGAACTCATTTCACATCCAGTGTAATGACGTCCCTGTTTGAACTTTTGGGAGTGGAAGTGAGATTCCACCTCCCCTATCACCCACAGTCATCCGGACAGGTCGAACGGATGAACCGCACGGTCGTCTCTATGCTCAAAAAGTACGTCTGCTCCACTGGGAAGGACTGGGACGTCAAGCTCCCTCTGGTCCTGATGGCCATACGGTCCACTCCACAGCGATCCACTGGGGTTACGCCCTTTGAGATGATGACCGGCAGACTGATGACTCTACCACTGCACCTCCTGTATCACCCAGAGGATGTCAGTGTTGCCACTGCCTATACCGCCCATCAGTATGTGACAGACTTGAAAACACACCTCAGAGCTACGTTTGCGCACGCTCAGAAGAAACTGGAGACCAACGTAGAAGGCGCTAAAGCCTACTACGACCAAAAGACAACCAGCCGCGAATACGAGGTGGGTGACAAAGTATTCTACTTTCGGTTCGCCCAACCGGCACGCAAAGCTAAGAAGTTCCTGCCCTGCTGGTCAGGACCATTTGAGATCGTGGCAAAACTCTCTCCAGTTGCATACAGGTTACGCATCACCAAAGCGAGACAGGAGCCTGTCTACAAATGGGTGCATGCAAACCAAATCAAACCCTACGTCAAACCGTCCCCGCGGGTACAGAGACCAGACTCCCCGCAGGAGGTAGACGTAGTCTCCACATAGTTTTATGCATGGAAATGGAAAGGGGGGGGGGAAGTGCACGTTTAACCCACTAACATGTACTAACCGACAAAGAACCCCCCCCCCCCCCCCCCCCCCCCCCCCGCCGTTCTTTTCACTAACCACGAGTCTCTCCATTACAGGATGGAGTTCCTCTGGATCTTCTGCATCCTCTTTGGATCAACGGCAGCCACTCCATCAGCCATCATTAAACCGGGACCACCAACCGGGATGGTCCTCCAAGACAACCCCGGATTGTTGATCACACACTGCCGCATTCATACGCAACGTATCGTTGTCCGTTTGGACCCGTGGGACGTCTATCACAAACACGTGATACCGGCCCCTCCTCCTCACAAGTCCATTATTGGTACTGTTCAACATGCCAAGCGCACCACCGCTTACATGTTGGCACAACTTCAAAAATTTATAGTCACTGAAGATGACCTCGGAGAAAATAACCGCCCAAAAAGGTTTCTAGGTGGACTCATCGCTGCGGTGTCCGCGGTGGGTTCCCTCTTTTCAGTTGGACTTTCGGCGGCTAACACAATTAGTCTTAAGACTGTCCAGCGACACATTGCCGAACTCCAGGATGAGATGCCAGAGATCCAGGGGAACCTCCTCCTCCTAGACCGCAAACAGGAAGCTCTTACTAAAACCTTACAGGGTACTCTTGTAACGGTCAACCTACATTCTGCTCTGATTAATGAATCTCTACGTGCAATCAAGACTTTGTCTGACACCATACATCAGGATATTGTGTACACACGAGTGGTGAGAGATTTGATGTAGGACCTGCTCAGGGAAGTAAGTTCCACGCTGGACAGCTTGGTTGAAAGTCGTATTTCCCCGTACTTGGTACCACTGGACCTGCTCAAAGATAGCTTGACAGCTGCTACCCCTCTACTGTGCACCTTTCACAAATCCACCTAGCGTACAGCCTAGGTAGTGCAATTCCCATTCACGTTGATGCAGAAAATTAGAACTCGGTTTCCTGTTACATGTTCCCATAATTGTGACACCTCACATCTATAGGTTTAAGTCGATGCTGAACTTTGGTATTTGAAAGGACGGTAGGCATTTCCACTTTGAACTAGAAACTGGCACTCCATCACCTCAACCTCGAACAGCATGACTCAGAGATTGAGATCATGGACGCTTTCCAGGGTTATAACTTTGCCTTCGATTTAGAAATTGACCAACAATTACTGATTGAAGGAACCAAATTTGTTAAGTTCACACAAACCCCGCGTGAACTTACTTTGACGATACATTGACACAGATTATACGACTTTAATCTGCACATTGGTCGCCCTGGGGATGGGATGGCTCATCACGGCCGTGATTGCTTATTCCGCCTACAGGCGTGTTAAGAAACTCCAAGATAAGATGCACTTGCTCACCTACGGTGTGCCTCGTAACCGCGTTCGGGGAGACTCCAAGCGTGAATGTACCACACCTGTCTAAAGGGGGTGAGCAACATTTTCTTTGTTATTCTGTAAACCTAAGAGTAGTTCTCATTTTAGTCTACCTCACATATTTATCTGAGTGTTGCAGTATGTCACATTCTTTATAAGCTACACACTGACTGTATGACCTAAGAATGTATTTTATGAGACCTCAAGGTTGCTATGAATTTTCTTGGATGTTATATGTTACATGTTTTTTTTTTTGGGTTTTCTGTATTTTTGTTTCTTACTTGGTCACATATTGACTAGTGGTTATGTGCCGGCCCAGCTCAGTCTGTCAATGACTCTGTCTGACGCACCAGCACATTGTAGTACCTCTTAGTTTTATGGTCCTTGTTTTAGCCCAAAGACTGTCCTGATCCACCCTTTGGACCAAAAAAGGGGGGAATCTTGGGACCACATAGGTCAATGCGCGTTTGCGAACTATGGACCTCGTACATCACCGCGTGCTCCATAAACTGAACTGTATGGCCGGCGGTGAGATGCCTTTGTGTCCACTCGTGGAGTTAACCGCCCACCGACCTTCCTCCTTCTACACTACTACCTCTCGCATGGACGACATCATCATTGCGTACCACCTGCGTGAGTGGCTTCTTCTCGTTATGCGCGTTGGGGACTATCCCGTTTCCTATCCTCTTTGTGCCTGACAAAGACAAAGACCAAAGGCGCCAGGATCCAAGACAAAGACCAAAGACAAAGGCGTCCAAGGAGACCAACGTCCTAAGGGACAAACCCACCTGTGCTTCCGACAATCAAGTCGACCTACGTTCATGAGGAACAAACCCATCTGTGCTTCCGACGATCGAGCTTTGGGCGCGATCCCCGAAACCAAAAGGGGGAATGTTGAGGGTCTGACCTCATGAGGAAATTACTATGCAGTGATTTTCTCCAAAATGACTGTGCTAAAATTGCTCTGAAAAGCAAATAATCACATCAGCGCCAAGAAACTTCATTTCCCATGATGCTTTGCACACGGAAGCATTGTGATGACGTCACCGCCTAGTACCAGAAACACGTTCTGCGCATGTGCGGGAAGCCGTGGAGCTTTTCCCGCGAACTAAGACCATAAATCTTCAGCAGAGACAAAGAATCCTCGTTCTTTTGCCCAGGATACCTGGCGGTAAGGACACGCTTGTCAACGCTCCGTCAACTTGAGCACGCGGAAGCTCTAAGTGCCAAGTTGAGCCACGCAACTGCTGGAAACTAAACTGCAAGCCCATCAGATCTGCTCGTTTCTGCTCCCCTCCAGCTGATGTTTGAGGACACAGAACTGCGGAGGAAAGCAACAACTCCATCAAGCACGCTGTAAGTTATAACTCAGCACAGAAAGAAACTTTGCTGTCTCTGTCCAGCCCGTGGAGAAACACTCGTGAACGCCAAACAACGGAGAAAGCATCACACCGACGGACGACGCCGAAAGCTGCGGAGAAACACGGAGAACCGTCAAATCAAAGAGGGAGGGACGCCTCGCTCTTCTGGTGATCAGCAACTCATCTCTTTCTCTCTCTCCTTCTTCTTCCGTTAACTCTATAGTCCAGAATAAGCAATAAAACCGCGCTATTGCTTAAAAAGTAGCTTCGTGTTTTCCTCTTTCGTCCCAAACACGTCCGTCGGGTCATTTTGAAAGACTAAACTGCTTATTGATCATTGTTTGGTATCTTAAAATGGTTTCTGTCATGGCCAGGCTGAAACTAAAAGATATTAATTTGTGATTAATCTTTTGTGTTGTTTCATGATCTTTTGAAATGTTTTGAGTGATTTAAGGTTAAGTTACTACTGATTCTAAGTGCTTTGGAAGTAAAAGTGCAAGTTGCCACCCACACTTTAGCCAGACAAAGGGGTCAGCCATCTTGTATTCAAGACTCCATTTTGAATCCATACACACGCACACACACACACACACACACACACACACACACACACACACACACACACTACTCCTTTGTGAGAACAAAGGACCCCATTCATACATCCTCCATCACATGCAAACACATCCATCTTCAATCATATCACACGGTTATTATTCATCTATTCCACTGTTTATTCATTTGACAAATTGTTAATTAAATGTTATAAAATTCAGATTTTTGTGTCCAGTAGCTTTGTTGTGTCGAAGAGAAGTCTCTGCTCCAAGGATTCTACGAACTTCAAGAAAGACTGATAAGAGTTTTGGATTCATTTCCCTTTCTAATTAAAGGGTGGTGCCCCGAAGATATCTAAGAATATCTTAATTAATTAATAAATCAGTAAATAGTTCCATATTTACAGAATTTATTGAAGAATCCAAAAGTAAGTTAAAGCTTACGAATTGTTCGCTCCTAATAACCCCAACAGTAGGTAATCTTTTTACTCTGCTGTCCTCAGTTGAATGTGTGGCTATTCAACCTCTGCAGTGAGCTAATCATAAGAGGAGGTGGTTCCAGAAACGACAGTACACGTCTTTGTCTTTGTGTCTTTACTGAAGACAGTTTTTCCTCTTTTAACTTGTAAAAAGATTATGGCTCAACAAACTCCCCAACGACTGAAACTGGGCTCAGAGGAGTGAAGCGTGTTGTCTCCTTCTACCATTTTCTCACACTGCCCAACTACCCCTGACTGCATCCCGGAGATCGGGGCGGGGCTAAATGTGGGCGGGGTCAAACGTTTAGAGGTGGGCTGAGACAACTTTTTGACTCCTGCGTCCTGCCCATGGTCCTGCCCCTCTCTCAATGGAACCAGGAAACCGCTATGCTATGTGTGTGTTCAATGCTGTGGCCGGGACAGAGGGAAGTAGCTGCCAAAATGGAGGTAAGCCAGTATTTTTCTTTCTCTGTTTTAACAGTATCGAGGACCAATGTTGGGCGAACGTTTTATAAACTTGGAAATTAAAGGTTTTTTTCCCATTATGAGTTTTAGATGATACATATAGCCTATTTTACATATGCGGGGCGACTTACTTTTGAGGACAAATGTTTACAGGGTTCCCGTGGAGTCTTAAAAGCATTGAATTTATGAATTTAAAAGTAATACCGTTAAAAGACTGGAGAAATCTTCAATTTTGGCATCTGGGTCTTAAAATTTGTGTTGGATGTAAGTTTTCTGTACTGCATTTTTCTTCTGAAGTTCATCAAAATATTCCAAACAAGTGATGACACCAAGAGAAGCATTAGTATTAATAAAGGGTAATAAAATTAACAATAATAAAAAAAATGTCTTAAAATTAAACTAAAATATAGGCAACAAAAATTATTGTTAAGGTTCTAATGTCAAACCAGAGATCCGGTTATACTTTTAACCATTTGTTTAAAAATATAACCGATCTTCTACCAAGTGCCCACCCAGTGTTTTGTCAAAATATATTGGTAAAGATATATAGATAAATAAATGAAAACTAGTTCAATAATTTTATTTTATTTATTTACTTTTTTGCTGATAGTGCCGTGAAATAGGTATTAATTTTCTAGATGGCTTTAGAAAGATCTTAAACAGACTTAGATTTAAGTTGAAGAAACCTGTAAGAGCACTTTTATAGCTTTGGGGAGATATGTTGTGTGGTCATGATTACTTTTTGGTGGAAAATATATTTTACAGGGGGAAATATGTTAGTTTTTTAAGCTTTTTATGTTCGTATCTGGGTTCTACACCTGATGGGCTTTATTATTATGGTTAGAGTGCTAATCTGATATGTGTATATAAATGTTTTGCTCAGTCAAGTGTCAACAGAATAACATGAATGTTTTCATAGTGAATGAATGTTGTCATTGTATCACCAAGGTCTGAGGAAGACAGAGTGCAGGCATGAAAAAGACGGAGAGAGGAAAGAGTAAAACCGGTGAGAGAGAATCTGATTAATTCTTGTAGTTTTACTGTTGCTTGCAGACTAAAGCATAATTCCTTCACTTATTTCAGGGCCTGGAAGTGGTCCCTCCTAAGAAGTCCTGCCTTACTGAATGAGTCTGTGCAGCATCAGGTATTGTTCAAACAAGTATTATTGTACACAACCCCCAAGGTTGTCGAAATGGGATGTGGGAAGATTCAAGATTCAACCTTTTGTCATATGTACAGCTAGAAAAACACGCTTTCTGCACAATGAATTTCTTACTTTGCCAAGATTAGAAAATTAAGACCGTTCCAGACAGAGCACTTTTTTTTTTCAAAGCAAGTTTTTCAGTCATTTCTCTATTTTCATTAAACCAGAATACTAAGCAACTGATCTTTTTTACAACTTGCACTGTTAATATGCTTTTTATGAACCACAGTCTTTTTCCTTTCTAGCAGAGGCTGAGAACTTGCTGGAACTGGACACAGGGAACAGAGTACGTTTTATATTGTTGGCTTTTCTGGTGTCATTGTTTCTTCTCCAACCTCTATTTTAATTAGAGGTGTCAAATAATTCCATTACTTGCAATTCATTTTTTACAGCCATGATTAACGTGTTTTATATACTTTAATTATGTTAATCATTTTTAATCTACTGCTTCTTTATGGGACTTTTAAATAAACCAATTTCTTTTCTTTTACGCTTCTTGCTGGTGTTCTTGAAGGGTTGATGTAAACTCATAAGTTGAAGGGTTGACGTTACAGTGACAAGACCGGTGAGAGATTAGCTGCAGCAGTGTTTATTTCAGCAACCTTGTTATCTTTACTCCATTTTTTTCACCCTTCTTGCAACTTTTTCCAAAGTTATTGTTACCATTTGGATGTAATGGGTGTGTCGCTGAGCATCAAGGCTGCTGACAGCTTCTCTCCTGTATCAGATGCACCTCCGTGCTGCAGTTTGGAAAGACTACAGCATCAGCTGTTTGGTTAGCTGTTAGCATTGAAAATAAGGCTTATATTATGTTCAGTTATTAGATTAAATTAAAAGATTAGATTACTTACAGATCATACATAATTAATGTAAAATACGTTTTTAATCTCTTGACAGCAGTAATTTTAATATTGTCTTTATTTTTGATTAGGAGAATTCTCTGCTTGAGGACACCTTTGAGGCAGCAAGGTGGTGTACCACAAGGTCCTTCAAAGGAAGCCTTTCCCTTCCCCAGGTCATCACCATGGACAGGGAAGCTTGCCAGAGGGCAGTGGAGAGGTTATGCTTCTGTGATGGCCTGGATGAAGAGGAGATGAACGATTGCAGGGAACCGTTCCTGTTCATGTTTAGTTTTCAGTCCGACTATGAGGAGTTCTGCAGAGAAATTGAGGAAAAAGGGAAGATGAAGGTGTTTTCTGGTTTTGAAATGCCATAGTACAGCGGTGTCACAGTTTTTGCATCATTTTTCCTCCTCACATTGTTTTTTTGGAGGTTTTGTGTGCTTTTTGGTTCATTTGTACTTTTTTTGTTTTTATTCCTGTGTTGGCTGTTTGCTCTATTAAATTTACCTTTTTTGAAAAATGTAGTCTGCATTCTTGTGTGTCTCACAATGTCTCACCACCCCACCTCAAACCCTGGCATGTTTTAAGAAGTATCAGCACAATTTAAGTCTCTGGTCCTCTTAATGTAGCTGATATAACTGAGTGTACAACAAATGTACCCGTGTCTGTCTACTGTTTTACAGTCACTTGGGAAATGACTATTAAAATAAAGGCAGCACTGATAAAATAAACTATTAAAATGGTTTTGACAGGTTTAAAGAATAGTCTATCAAATGCCTGAACCTTTTATATAGGTACCAAAAGTATAGCTAAAAGACACAAATACCTATGTGCTGTAAATACACATACCATACAAAAGTAGAAAAAAGAATATCAGAACAGATTGGATCAAAAATGGCGCCTGCAATTATCTGCTCTTTAAAATTATCATGACATACAGCAAACAAGTCATTTGATTACCAATGTTATGCTTTACATGAGTTTTGTGGGTTTTTAGGGCTTTCTAATCCTTAGACAGGAGTTACTCGCGGTTTACCGGTTCCATTGAGAGGGGCAGGAGTCAAATAGTTGTCTCCACCCACCTCTAAACGTTTAACCCCGCCCACATTTAGCCCCGCCCCGATCTCCGGGATGCAGCCAGGGGTTACTCACACTGCCTGCCCCAACTTTGCCTGCTGCTTACATCACACCGCCACCGGGGGCAGTATTGCACTCAGGAAAATAACTGAAGAAGAAGTCACAAAACTCGAAGGGTACTACTGGCCCCCTAGTGGCGAACTGAGAGATGCACCAGTAAACAGAAAACTAGAGGGGCAGAATAGTCTCAGACCAAGTTTTTGTTTTCATGTGTGTTTCTTTCAGTTGTCTTTTGTTTGTTTCATATAAAAATTACAAAAATCATCTTTGTCACATTCCTGAGAGTCAGGTAGTGACATCACAAATCCTGCAGGCTCAGGGGTTTTGACTTTCAATGTTGGGACTGTTTCTCCTTTTGCTGTTTTTGTTTTCTTGCAGTCTTTAGCCCGACATACGAAACAAACACACTTTAGAACGTGTTTCTGGTTTAGAATGAAATTAAAAAAACACACCTGAATGCTTAAAATGATATGAATGGACATAAATACCACTGAAGTTACAGGAATATAGGGGTGTAGACAACATGCATTTCAGTCACACACACAACAGGTCATTTTTAGTCTCAAGATATCCAAAAATAGATTTTCCAATAAATGTCTTCTGCTCTGATGGATTCACCTTCACAAAAGAATGAACTCATCTCATGAAATGCTAAGTCATTCATTTCCTCCCCAAAGTTATTGTGTTGTTATTAAATAGACTCGGGCTTGCTGATCAGAGTTCTCGTGGTTCCTTTCAAACCACGGTTTGACTCTGCTGCTCTGGCTCTAAAAAGACCCGACTGGTGCCGAACAAACAAGAACTTAATCCTGGTATGTCCAGATTATGATGCACCTTTAAAAATAAATGTACCTTTACATAAACGAGAACAATAACTTTCACGGGGATAATTGCACAGCAGAATCACTCTGTAAGGTGCTTATTATCTTCTTGTGATTAAACAGAAACCAATAGCCTGCTATGAGGCCAGCAACAGCACTTCCTCTAATAACGTTACCAGTTCAACCAGAACAAAACAAGCCATTCTTAACAGCAGTGCTTAGTTTTAATAGCATTTTGTGAAGAAAAATAACTGTTTTTGTTTCATTTTATTCAACTAGACGTTTTAGTTTTTCACAGTCAGTACTGACGTGAACAGAGAATTTAAAAATAATAATTTTCAGGGTTTTTTTAGATTTGGGTTTGATTTCTGCATCTCTAAGTGTCCCAGGCTCCTGCCCGCTAGTGCAGAGAAACTTTATGTGCAGAAACTAAATTAATAACTCTGTATCTGAGGTAGTTCATCAGAACCTGCAGAGGTTCCCTCCCATTTCTTTTAACCAATTGCTCCAACAGCCTTCTTCTCCTGATTTGTATTCAGCAGCTGTGATGTCCGGAGCTTTTATTTCATGTTGGTTCTACCGTGCACCTTCGATTTAAAGGACTTCAGTCTCTTTGTTCTGGGCTGTGATCCAGGCCAGAAGCTCAGAGAATGATGCTTTGAGCTGGTTCATCAATGCGGTGTGTTGCCCAGGTAGCAACAACGGCATTCATATTTCTGCCCTGCCACCTCTGTGCTGACCTGTCAGAGGTCGCCCTACAAGATCGCCCTAAGGCACCAATTCTGTCAAACCACCTTGTTTCCTCCATAAAGGCTCCCGTATCATCCACAGGAATATCGTACATCAGACTGGGCCTTCCTGCC